GGTTGGCGCTTTTAGATAATTGGAATGAAGAAAGATGGAGTAAAGAGAGAAAGAAAATTGTGCGTGTAGGTGTCTGATGTTTGTAATTAGAAAAAAAAACAAAACATTTTTTTTCAATTTAAATTAAGTAAAAGAAAATAGAAATGTATAAAATAACGACGTTAATAAACGCATTTAATGCACAGAGAATTTAAAGAAAAAAAAAAACATTTTAAATACTAAATAAGTTCTGTTGCTTTTCTGACACTGATCTCAGTGCCAAACTGCTATGTACTTATTAACCTAATGTTTTCAAGTTCAGCTGCAATTCCCTCTTAAATACATGTTTAAGCTCTTACAAAGTCATTAATAAGCAATTTACGTCCTAGTGATTTTATTGCTTTGCTTAGGCTGAAATGATTTAAGATATATCCTATCAGTAAACAAAAATGAAAAGAAAAGTAGAAGAGATGAAAAGAAATTATTTGAATGTTAACTCATCTTTGACAGTTCTTTGAACTCAAATATCTCATAAAATGTCGATTTTAAATTAGAAAATGTCATAACTGCAGAGAGACTAATTAGCATAAAATCAGTTACATTTAAGAAACATGTATATTAACTAGACATTTTCGCAATAAAATAATTTAAATATTTACAATTTTAGATGGCCTCTATTGAAGTTAAACGAAAATAAGTGATTTCAATAAATATTTCATTGTTATCTTCACCGATCTGTTATCAGTAAAGTTAAAATAAGTGTAACATCATATTTCACTCAGATGTAATTCATTTAACCGATCAACTATCTTTTTTTTTCAGTATTTCACATTTAGTTAACATTATTCTGATTAGGTCTCGTAATTTTACAGATAAATGTTTATATATTTCTAAGAATTTCCTCTTCATTCCAAATCTTTTACATTTTTTTTGTCGTGAAATTTTAAATTTATGTAAATTAGTATTAATAATCGGGTGCAGTTAATGCGGATTTTGATTCTATCAGAGTAGGTTTAGATGCGCTTATTTCAATGTGAAAAAATATTTTGCATAAACTAATAGCATTGCATTAGTCACGAAAATCTAAATAAGGTCAGTGAAACATTCTGTTAAAAAATATTTATCTCACTAATATTAATTATTACAAAATCCTGTTTTTTTAATATTTAAATTTTATGTTTTCGAAGGGCAATCAATATTGTTGATATTTATCTTAGAACTATTTAAAGAGGTTTTTATAACATTCTGCAAACTTTGGAGCTGATGTATCATTTTGACAAAACTAAAATAGTATGGATTTCACAATTTAACGAAAAGCTATCATTTGGAATAGGAAATATAAATCTTTCAAAAATATAAAAAAAAAAAAATTTTCCCGCATTCAAATCACATTCCTTTTGGGGGTGTAAAGTGGGAAATAAAGACATTTTTGGTGATATAGATATTTTAAATTTACAGGAAAACAAATGAATAATGTTATATGCCTACAGCCAGAGGCATCTGCACTAAATATATATGTATATAAATATTGAGTGAAAACAAATTTAAAAATAATACATCGATTTATATTAGGCAAACATGGATAAACGGGCCCGCAATAAGACCTAGTGTCAAAAAGACGATTTTTCCTACGACATCGTTTTTTTTTTTTTTTTTTTAAAAAAAAAAAAAAACCTTCATTCTTCGGCAATGTTTGTTTTAAAAAGCGATGATTAGAATTGGAATAAAATCTAAATAGAGGACGAAAGGGGCGTCTTTTATTGGCACTCGAGAATTTATAAAATGATTAAACGCTATTAGTTTATTTACAAGAATAATTTTATATTTACAACATTCTAAGAACTAATGCAATATTAGAAAGGAAATAAGTGAAATAAATATATTCATAATTGTTTTATTCATAAATTTATAAAAAAAAAAAAAAAAAAAAAAAAGATTGAATCAACTCGCAATTAGCCGATGTTTTGCCAGCCATTGTAATAAATAGTATAAATAAAAAAAATCTAAAAAGGTTTATTTTGTTTGTCAAGTCTCAAGAACGAAGAAAAATATGTAAATTCACTTTCATGCTCAGGTTACTAATCATTGCTTTTTAAAAACAAATATTACCCAAGAGTAAAGGTGGTTAAATAATAGCTGTGTCATGAGAAAACCCGTCCTTTTAATATTACGTCTTAATACGGGCACGTTTATTCCTGTTTGCCTATATATAGATACAAAAAAAAGAGAAAAAAAAAAAAAAAAGAGTTGGTGTTTATTCGACAAAAGGTTTCGCAAAAAATTCGTCAGAAACATATCAGCCGAGTTTTTTTGCACAACCTGTGTTTTTTTTTTAACACCATAAAAATCATTTGTAAAAATTGACAGCATTTTTTGGGAAAGAGGGAATAAAAAAAAAATTTGAACAAATAAGAAATTTGTATTGTGTTTTTGAGACAATATGATTTATTTCTTTTCTTGATGAGGGTTGCAATGTTTCTTTTAAAGACAGCAACATAAGAAAAAAAATCCTTAAAAAACACCGATACAGATTCGATAGATGCTAACAATAGAACCTTACCAGCGTTTCTTTGATGGTTGTTTTATATTATATATATATATATATATATATATATATATATATATATATATATATATATATATATGTATATATATAATATATATTATCAGTATTTGTTATTTTTTTTCGTATTTTTTTGTTTTTTAAAAAACAAAAAAAAAAACAAAAGAGGATTTTGGTTGGAGGAAAAAGGGTGTATTGTTAAGAAAAAAATGAAAATACATTAATTAAAAAAAAATAATTTAACATTGTATTTTATATTATTTTTTCTTTGGAGTGTTGGGCGGGCTATTTTCATGTTCGTCTGTGTTTTTAACTTGAAATCTGTTTTATTTGTTGGCGGCATTCTTAACATCGTGATGTATAGTGAGGCTTGAATAGCTACTGCTTTTTTTTTTTTTCTTTCTTTTAAAAATCTATCCGACATTATTACTGCATATAATTGTTTATCTCAGTTAATTTGTCTTATTACAATATGATTTTAATAAAGAGAACAAGGACTTCATGCTAACGGAAGTAAAACCTGTTCAGTATCTAATTTTTTTTCGCACGTATATCGCCCTCAAACCCATTTCACAGCTTTCGTCATGATCCGATGTAAAAGCCCACTTTCAATTGTGTAAACTTATCTTACACCTTGCCAAATTTCCAACGGCGTCACAGTTTCTCCCGCCGGCACACACGCAAACAACGGCTGGCCTGCTACCGATCTTAAAAGCAATCTAGTAAGGTAATGGTCCTTTACGGATCGAGAGAACGTGGCGATTGCAGGCAAGTTTGTAAGTAGCCTAGTTAGACTGACCAACAAATATGTCGGATACAAATCATTTTTACCCGCATAAAGTAAGAACAAAAGTTTGTTTTGTTTTTTTTTTTCTGAGCGGGGGAGACTCAAGGTAGACATATGTGGAGAGAGAATTTTATGCGATTGAACGAACAAAGTTTTTGACTACCAGGTAGTCGCATGTTCGAGCAGCTATATTCGTCAATGGCTTTTACTGCTAGAGACAGTCTCATGCATTTAAGCATATATTTTAGTGTCTTCTAGATTTTGGAGTTCAAACAAAAATCGACTCAAACATAACAAATATAAATATTTTTTTTCTTATTATTTTGCGGGACTCTGCTACGTCGCAATAATCATTTCTGCTCACCTTTTACCCCCACCAAATGACAAAAATTTCAAAAGTGAATATATATTATATCTCAAGATAATCTTTTGAAAGAGTCAGGAGGTGGGAGATCCCACAACTTCGGTTCGCGTTAAGAAAATAAAACTGTTTAAAAAAAAAAAAAAAAAACAAACAAAAAAAACATCTATTTATTTCCTTGCTATTACTTGCTTGAACAATAAGTTATTTTCCTTATTTTTGTTAAGAAAATAAGTTCTTAAATGTTTACGATTAGAAACAAACAAATTTACAGGAGATTTTTTTCCTTTCTTCTTTATATTATAAATTTTAATGCCGGAGTCCAAAGTTAAAGTTTCAGTCTTAAAAATTATAGTCATAAAGAAGGAAACTACTGTGTTTTTTTGTTTAAAGGAGGGAATTTATGGAGGGGGGTTAGTGCCAAAACTAGAGAAATGGAATGAATAGGTATGTGTTTATATTCATTGTTAAAAGTTTGTAAGTTTTCTGGGGTGTGTATGCATGTATTTCCTCGTCTATCTTTTCCTCTTACTGGTTTGTAGGTGAGGAAATGTTAGAGAAAAAAAAATAATCAAAAAATGATTTTCGTAATCATTAACTTTTTTTTCTTTTTTTTTTTTCGTGAGTGAATGGGTGGGGGAAAATATTAAAAACGTAAACAGGTCTCACCACCTTTAAAGCTGACATATAAAACTGTTCAGCCATCGGTTATGTAAGGTTTTTTTCTTTTTTTTATATCTTTTCTCTCGTTATTTTCTTCTTTCCTTCTCTTCCTCCTTTTGCATGGATTTTTCTTTCTTTTTTTTCTTTTTTTTTCGAAATAAAAATGGGGCTGGGGAATGCACAAGATCATACATACATCCTGTTTTTTTTTCCTTTACTTCTGAGTTCGTATTGTCCGAAATCAGATTTTTGAAAAAAAAAAAAGAAAAAAAAAAATATATATATATATATATAAAGGAAAAAAGTCCTCCTGGTATAATAGTTTGTTATGATTTTTTTCTTCTTTTCAAAACTTTTTTTTTTTTTTATAAAAAATCTCCAATATGTTCGGCCCCCAATTTTTTTTTTTTCAGTCAATGTTTTTTTTTTTTTTTTTAATTTTTTTTTTAAATTCCTTGTTTTCTCACTCAGACACACGTTCTTAACTTTTAAAACTCTCTCTCAAATAATCTTTCATTCTATTTTTTTTTTCTTTTTGGGATCTACCAAACGATCCGGGGTGTGAGTCCCACGCCTTACCCCAGGGGCTATACAAATAGGGGGGAAAAAATCAGTACCTTGATTTACTCACTCATTTTTTCTTGTTCCTACATGTGTGTAAGGGGTACCGTGTTAGTGACACCGTCAGTCGTTGTAGCGTGGCTATATTGTCCTTGCATTTGTAACCTGCTCTGTACAGAGTGATCGTTAGTGCTTTCTCCAGGTAAGTACATGCTGATCATTTCCCTCAGGTCTCCCGTGGGACATCGACCGACCGGGGATGGTTGGCCCGTGGGGTTAGGCTCTCGTTTTATTTGGGGTACCTGAGATGGCATAGAATACGGGGCCATTGTCATGGTATAGCTTGAACTGCCGTTCATGTATGATCCCGTGGTCATCTGTGTGGACATAGGTTGAGCTGGAATGTTGTAGCCATACTGGCCGCCGAGGGTCGCCATTTGGTTCGACATATGTTGATGGTAAGCATTTGGATCTGGGGGCATCATAGGGTAGCCGTTCGGCATGTATCCATTCATCGGATACATTTCGCGCCCAACCTGTTGAACCGGGGCACCGGGTGGCATTCCGGGTAGGGCATATTTGTCTTTTTTCATCAGTGTCTTCGTCTTCCGACGGGGCCTGTACTTGTAGTCGGGGTGCTCCTTCATGTGGATTGCGCGCAAACGTTTCGCTTCGTCAATGAATGGCCGCTTCTCTGCCTCCGATAACAATTTCCATTCAGCGCCGAGACGTTTGCTGATTTCAGAGTTATGCATTTTCGGATTTTCCTGAGCCATTTTTCTTCTTTGTCCGCGAGACCAGACCATGAAAGCATTCATCGGTCTTTTCACACGATCCTGGTTATTTTTCTGGGACTGGGAAGATCCTTGGTTCTGACCTTGTCCGTTAGCGCCCTGGTTTGTCGGTTGGCCTAGGCCGGGCTGGCCTGCGTTATGTCCTAACGTAGCTTTAGTTAAATCTGTCTCCATGTTGTAGTTGTAACAATGTCCGAGACTGTATAACGATTCAATGGTGCCTTGTTGAATCCAAACGCTTCTGTTTATAAATGATAAATAAACCTTTTTGGGGGTGCTTTTCACAAGAGTCCAAAGTGATACGTCTTCTGTTGATGATCACAAATAATCTTTTGATTAATACACCTCTCTACCATGTGTTATTGATTTGGAGAGAATAAAATAGGCTGTCCGCTCAGCCAATGGGAACCTTTCTCGACTGACAGCTTGATAGATGCTAATTTCGTTGAGTTACTGGTGTCTAACAATGTCGAGTGATGTAGGCTGGCGTCGAGCACTTAGTAGTGAAGGAAAAAGGGGCGGAGCTTCGTTTGGCTATTGTGCGTTGCGCGGATGAATAAATCTCATTACTGCACGGCCACTCAGCGTTAGTCGTAGCAACCAGCGGATGGAGTCAGCCAAGACTTGGAACGATTACATTTTCACCTCATTGCAGGTGTTTGGAAAACCGCTACTGGGGAAACTGTATTGGCCTGCCAATCAAATGACGTCAGAGCCCAGTTTATAAAAGGGAGGGGGAATTGGCGAATAGAGTTGTATGGAAGAAGCGGGAGGAAAAGGGACTCTTTTTTTTCTCTCCTCCCCCTTAATTTTTTTTTCCTCGTTTCACCTTCACTTCTCGTTGCTTAAGCTGCCCACCTCCAACTCTGTTGGAGACTCTTGGCTCTCTTTCTCGTCTCCTTCTCTTTCATTTCTATCTGCCTATCTAATGTGAACAAAAGAATCCCTCTCTATATAACGCTTTCGTTCTCTCGCTTCTTAATCTAATAGTGAACTTCTAACTGAAGCGAAAAGTGAGATACAGTGGTCGGGTAGAGTCAGTGAGAGAGGGGAGCAAGGTGCGGTCTTGGTAAATAGAGAGTGTGCGAGAGAAGACATTTTTTTTTTTTTACGATGTACTATGGTGGTGAAGATTTGAATTTGAGTGAGTAACGTAGTAAAGGAAAATAAGATATTTAATTAGAGGGTGATGAGTGTCATGTAGGAGACAAAAGAGAAAGAGAAGGTCAAATATATTACAGGAGTGGGAAAGAAGAAAAGGTGAAGAAAGAGGGAGAAAGAAGTAAGGAGAAGGGTAGTAGTAGTTGTGTCATGTGAGATAGACGGTGTTGGTTGGTGTGGAGCGGCCATGGTTGTCAAAAGTAGAGAGGTTAGAAAGAAAACTAGAGTGTTGGAAATAAAGGTAGAGCGATATAAGGACGAACACAGAACGTTAGCGACGAAGAAAGATTAATAGATATAAAGAAAGAAAATACGGTAGAGTGGACACAGTAGATTCGGGTTTTATAATACAAACTAAAATGAAAAGGAATTGTGCTACAAATTCAAAATAATTATATATATATATATATATATATATATATATATATGTGTGTGTGTGTGTATGTAATGACATTATTAATAGCGTGAGATGATAGGTTTAATAAAAGAAGCAGATTAAGATACAAAGAATATATATACGTATGTATTCTATCATCTAAAATTATAAGAGGTTAGTATACGCAGGCAATTCCGAATATTAAATATGGACGTTAAGTGGTCTGTCTAACATCGGATAAGGAACAAACCGCAACGTAAGACAAAACATATTTTTGCCAAAACATATCCTTGTTATCTATATCAAATAGCCACAGTATTCTTTGAAATATTTTTTTTTCGTGCTGGCTTCTATCTCGATCACTTTTAAGTTCTCACTCTCTCTTTCATATATTATTTCTTGATTTCACTTTTATTCTTTTCTTTAACCAAGATAGACTTTTTCTATTGTAGATATAGTCACTTATATCTTGTCAACAGTACTCTTAGTCTTATATATCGGTATACATTTATAAAGAACGCATATATATATATATATATATATATATATATGTATTTAAAGACATTTTTATGTTTAACATTCTTTTTATTGATACAAGTTTTTAAGTAAATGCTCTGTTTATAATAAACAGTATTAAATAACATTTACCGGCCTGAATGTCCGATATATATATATATATATATATATATATATATATATATATATATATATATATATATATATATATATATTGTGTGAAAATAGAAAATTCATTTTCATGCTTTTTAAACGATCCTCAGTTCTAAAATTCTGATGATCCTGAAGAGTCTTGTAACAGCCTGTCATCATGAAGTGAGATATCAGTGATCAATGTTTATATTTACAAACGCACTATTCCCAATAATAAGATAAATAGATATAAATAATTTAGTACCCCCACACACATATATATATATATATTAAATGATTGTTTACGTTTATTAAATATAAATAATATTATTATGATCACTCCTTATATATAATAAACTGTGTATGTAAGGAGTGATCATATTAATATTATTTATTTATATATATATATATATATATATATATATATATACTTCTATGTATGTGTATGCGCGCGCGCGTGAGAGAAGACAGAGACAATTCTGGCCTTTGGCATTTGTGGCCTGTTCGTGTTACTCGCACAGGTGTGCAATCTCGCATACGTACCTACTTACATATACACGAACATACCTTCGTACATACGTATGTACAGTGTGTGGATTTTTATTTTTTTCCCCGAGTATTCTTGGCGCGCCATGTGGATGGTCTAAATGGAGTACATTATTTATATTATATATATTAAGATGATTTTTTCCACAACGTGAAATGTTATTCATTTTTGACATACGTTATTCATTTATTTGTTTTATTTTTTTTAAATTTTATATATTTATGTCTTAATATTTTTTTCATTAACTTATCTTTCGCATTTAAAGACGAAAATGAATGAAAACAATTAAGCCCATCTAAAATATCCTAAGTTATACGGAGAGGGAATTCGTAAAAAATCCCTGTTTTTATTTGTAAAGAAATAAATTTATTACAGGCATTGCAATTTGTAGACATAAACAAATGCATATATATATATATATATATATATATATATATATATATATATATATATATATATATATATATATTTATATATATATATTTGTCAGGCGAGCGTAGTGATTGACTGGTTAAAAGTTGTTTATAAACGAGTTTTTAGTCAAGGCATATAAAGGTTAAGCCCACGTGAAGTTTTTCCCCAGTTTTGTCCTTATATTTTTATTATCATATTAACATGAAAAATCTCACACTAGCTTTTCTATTTTTAATTCATGTCGTTCTCTTTAATCTCTCTCTCTCACAGACACACGTTCGAGCGCGCGCATATATCCATTAAAATCTTATCCCCTAACATTAAGAGAATAGGTCCTCCCACACTTTGCAACTGGTTCAAATTGCGATAAAAATTGCTTACAGACAGCCTCCTATTGACAAAACATCGGCCATTTAATAATGAAAGATTTTTATTAATGTTAAAGCGGCTTACGTATTTTTTAATTAAAGTATTCAGATTCAATTTTTGTTTTGTATTTTGTAGCTAGTATATAGTTAGTAGATATTTTAAAATGTACATCATCTTATTCACATGGGTCAGTTAAAAAGAATATAAAACGTGTGACTAATAAGAAATCAGTGATAAAATATATTTTTGTTGTTTAAATTGTTTATAAACATTTAAATTCGAATTTTTTAATTAGTTTTATTCACTTTTCAAAAAATATATACCTAAATATTGTGCACGTATTTAAAAACAGTTACATTTGATAAAGAGATAGATTCTATGATCTGACACAAATTAAGCTTATGTCAGCTTATTTAAAATAATCAATTAATGTTAATTTCGAACTGTGATGTTTTCTTTTTCAACAATTGATATCGTCATGGGAGATTGAGGTCCAGTGTATTACATTAAAAAAATCTGTCTATGTCTTATGTTTGTCACTGTCACACTGTTTCATATATTCGTAGCCATCCATTGAAGCTAAATGAATTATTCTTTCATTGTACATCTCCAAATTTCGAGATAAATTTATCTTATTCTCTTACTGTGCACCCTCTTTAATTTCCCCTTATTCCGAACCCCATGATTTCTTACTTCTCTTCCTACGACTGAGACCACTCGTCTTCCTTCTTATATCTGTTTCGCTTTATTTTACTCTCACACTCTCTACACCCCCCTCTCTTAGACCCTCTTTCTTTCTACTTCTCTTTCCATCTCCCTCCTTCTGGTTTTAGATGCGGATCTCACTCCCTCGTATTTCTTTTTTTTCTACCTGCCTCCTTTATTCTATAATGTTCCACCCTGTCACTTTCTTTCTTTCGTTCTTTCTTCCTTCCATTTTCTTTCTTTCTTACTATTAAATCTCACATTCATTTTCCTATTCTTATTCCTCCTCCCTCTTTCTTGATATCAACCACACTTTTCATCCATCAATATATATATATATATATATATATATATATATATATATATATATATATATTATATGTGTGTGTCTGTAAAAATTTCTCCTCCCACCATTACAATATTTCATTCCTGTCCTTCTCTTTCTCTAAACTTCCTCTTCGCCCGCTACCCCTACTGCTTTTCAACTCAGCTCAACTTTTGTGTCCCTTTCAGTCCTTCCTCATTGAGGATTGATTAACGAACGAGAAAAGAAGCCGTTAAAGAATGAGACATGTTTGAATACTGGTCGGGAAAACACTACAGAACAACGCTCAGTTGTAGAATGAACATATTATTATTACTTCAATAAAAAAGGCCTACAGGTACACACACACACACACACACACACACACACACACACACACACACACACCTTCAAACCTCGCATTCATATACACACAATGAGAGAGAGAGAGAAAGAAAAATAGAGTTTTACAATCGTCCGCTCTTTCACTTACTCACACGCGGGCATATCAGCACACTACTGGCACATATACACACATTTGAACAATGCAGAAGACTTCGATCCATTCTATTCACAGTTATATAAAAGAAATCCTGTCCTAAGCGATACCATAATAAACGCGATCAAGAGACAGGACTAGGCAAGCTACACAAAGCGGCCAGGGTTAGTTTTGACGTAAGTTTCTAGAGAAATGGTCTTTTAAAAAAGTGACTCTTCTAAAAACTTCGCGACAAATCTTGAGAGATTTTTACTTGAGTCACCAGCGCAGAATCGCTGGTAGATCGTGAATGTAGGTATGAAGAAGAAGAGAAATACATTATGGTAAGGCTGCCCAGGCCCTTAACAGCAAACCTTTCTTTCTTTCTATCTTTCTTTCTTTCTATCTTTCTTTCTTTCTTTTATTTACCTTCATTTGTTAAAAAATATTATATCCCTTATTTTTGAGATATTACTTTTCAAGTTGCAACATAGCCTAAAAGATATGCTAAAATACTTATGTATGCATAACTACGCACACAAATTTCACCGAAACACGCACACACACACAAACACGGATAAAAAAAAGGGAACGAGGAAAAGACAGAGAGACTATGTGGGGGAGGAGGAGAAGAAAAAGAAAAAGAAAAAAAAATACTGCACGTTCTCTCGCTGACTGATCTACCCGTATAGAGCAGTCGTATATTACCGGTAGGAACTACTTGGGTGATAGTTAAAATTGCACAACCATTAAAAGTAGCTTGGACACACACACACATTTATCAATCTTTCAATTTGCACCTGCGTAAACATACATGCAGACGTAGATACACAAATACACACAATTTGAAACGTAGATACAGACCCTAATACTTTGAAAATGATGTAAAAATGAGAGCATCCAATATATATATATATATATATATATATATATATATAAAAAGGAACATTAAGTTAACACTCATAGGAGACAGTTTCATGTTAAACGCGATCATCAGGCATGATTGCGCCTAGCATGAAACAGTCTGTCGACTCTGAGTGTTGACTTCAGTGTTTACTTTTATATTTACATATGCTCTGTCTCTGATATTGAGCACTTTATCCCATAAACATAACACACGTTAGAACTATTTCTTCATATATATATATATATATATATATATATATATATATATATATATATATATCGTGTACATTCATTTGAATTATTTTGCCGGCTTCTTTTTCACGGCATATTTCGTGTGTACTAACTTTGTGATTGATTCATAATATTTATTTACGTAAATCTTACCGGGTTTCTTAAAATATTAATTTTAATTTAAGATCTTCGGTAGGGTCATCTTGCAATTATATACCCTGAACTATTTAACAGGACACACACACACACACACACACACACACATATATATATATATATATATATATATATATATATATATATATATATATATATATATATATATATATATATATATCGTTTTGTTCACACGTTTTTTTTTTTTATCACTGTATACCTTCTTTGGCATTCTCTGTCTCTCTATATATATATATATATATATATATATATATATATATATATATATATATATATATATATATATATATATATATATAATTTCCGACCCACAAAGTCTAAAATTGCTTCTATATTAATTTGATTATTTGGCGATATAATTATATATATTTGCATAGTTATTTATTGATATAATGTGCGTATGCTATAATTGTAATTTTTTGTTTGTTTTTGGGACTCGGCATTGCTTTAAAAGAAAAACTTAGACTAGAACGAAATTCCTGGAAGTAATGAACAATGCTTTTTAGCATGATTTTTCTGCTAAAAAATATAACTCATTCTCTTAGAACATTTGTTTAGATTCTTCAAATATTTATTCTCTCTCTACGCAAAAATCATGCCTACGCAAACCAGATTCCTCTATCAAGACACAAGAAGACAATTTCAAAAGTTACAGATAACCGGTTTTAATTTTAATCATCCACTTTGTTTACAAGCGACTTACAATCTTGCAAACGCGCATTGTAACTCTCTTACCTTCAAACTCTTTCTATCCATGTGGCTTCTTAAAAAAAAGATATCCTCTTTAGTGTTATGATAATGTTCTAAATAAACACATTGTTTACCTCTGCATTGAGATTTATATTAGCAATAGTGTTAAATATTACGTATCTGTGTCTCTTAGACAAGTTCTGTCAACTTGTAAGCAGCCAAGTAGAACACATTTATCCAACAAGGAAAGAGAAAAAAAATTAATTGATATTTCGAAAACTGAACTCGTTCAAACACACACACACACACACACACACACACAAAAAAACCTAATAAGCGGCATTTTGCATCGATATAAGAAATATTTACAAAATTTGGAAAATTAATTTTGCTAGTAGTTCAGATTTTTCAAAATAATAAAACACCAAGCACTTCTCAAAAGTTTTAAAAATTATTGCGTATTTAACTGTGTTCAAGTTTTTATTCTATTTATGCGAATTGTGTTTACCATAAATTTTAAAGGTGTTATTAATGACAATCTCGGTCATTAAAATTTAATCACTTTAAATTTGACGTTATTATATTTTTCTATTATTATCTTTCCATTTTAAAGAAAGAAAAAACTATCAATATTTATTTTACTGACGTCAGTTCATATAGTCACTCAGGAAACTCTCCTTCAGGTGTGAAATCGATCGGATATTGAATCATTTCAAACATAGAGTAATTTAAATGTAATTCCCCGCGAAAATCTGATCAATTTTAAGGTAGCATTTCTCATATAGATGCCTGTAAATTTTCATATATTTCATACATTGTTAGAGTTTTACATAGCAGTATTGATTCTTGAAATTTATATAAGACAACTCATTAAGAGAAACTGTCTATTTTGCCTCCATATGTTTCCCATGTACAAATATATATATATATATATATATATACATATATGTGTGTGCGTATTTCTGCGTCTTCTACTTTGTGCGCATGTGTGGTTAAATCAATATAAACAACATTTTAATTCGCGATTTCCTAAATGTCGAAAAAAAAAATTCGACTTTGTCATTAATTTCCCTAACAATGATCTGGTATATAAAATGTATGTAACATTTTCTCCCATACTATGAGAAATTGTGTCAGCTTACATATGCACATATATGGATAGGTGTGTGTGTGTATGTGTTTGTGTGTATTTGTGTGTAGAGCTTCCCAAAATTTTGAGGAAATTAAGGCGCGAAAAGTCTTCTCCCAAAACAAAAGCAAGAAAACAAAGTACAGAAATGGCTTCTAGTAGATTGATTTTTAAAAAGTGAGTGTAATTTACAGACAAAAAAGAAAACTGGGTAACTAGGCAAATTAACATACTGACCTTATATATATATATATATATATATAAATATATATATATATATATATATATATATATATATATAATGATATTTGTACTCATATATTGCAGCCCGGAATTAAATTTCCTTACTAGTATAAATATAGATATACATTTAGAGGCAAGTATTCTTAGTCCTGCTGTATTAATGTTTATCCTCGACATTATTGTCATATTTTAAAAGTACACAAGTCTACTGTGTATTGCTAATTGCGAACAGAATGAAATTCTTTTGTAAGAATTAGAGATATTTATTTCAAGAACATGTAGTTTTTCTTTAGGCAGTAAAATCATTTTAGTTCTGCATTTGTTGTACGAAAAAAAAATGAAGTCAAGAACTATCTATTAATGTCAATACAAAACTGTTTGTTAAAGAAAGAAGGGAAAAAAAAGGGAAGAGGGTGAGAATTAGATCGAATGGATATTGGGAAAGAAAGAAAAGAAAGAGGAAAATAACGCCTTTGAAAAAAGAAGGCGGGGGAAAATAAATCTAAACAAAAAAAACGCAGACAATTTGAGAGACAGAGATAAAAATGGAGCAAGGTGGTAAAGAAAGAAAGAAAGAAAGAAAGAAAGAAAGAAATAAAGAAAGAAAGAAAGAAAGAAAGAAAGAAAGAAAGAAGCGAAAAGAATAGAAGGGGGTTGGGGAGGAGAGTAAGAGAAATTAAGAAAAGGAAAAGTGAGAAAAGTTGAAAGAAAAATACTGTTGAAAGAAACCGAGTATTTAAAACTTATTGAAAAGCTATATAATAGAGAAGAGAGATTCAATGAATAAATGAAAGAAGCTCGCACTTTTAATAATAAACATTCATACAATTCTACACACACACACACACAAATACGCAGACGTTTCCTAGGCATAAATATACACAAAAGATGACACCAAATGGGTCAAATGCGATAGTTCCAAAGCTGTAGCAGTAATAGTGAACAGTAACTACAATAAGCTAAGGTTTTTACTTGTCAATGCAAATGGTTGTCTATTCGGCAATCGCTATTCGTACAAAAGATATATCGATGCCTGGCTAGTCGTGATGTGACGGGAGTCTCCGTTCATCTCCTCTCCTCCTTAAGTTATTCATATGCACAGAAACCGGCTAGAGAGGTGTGCGCCAACAAGCCACGGCCGAGGCCAAGAAGCGGGGAAACATGGAATGACGTTTTACCACTGTTAAACGCTGTAAGTACCCATACGATCACTCACTCACTCACTCTCTCTCTCTTTCTCTAACTCACTCACTCTCAATCTCACTATCTCTTTTATACAGACACACACAGACACATGCAGGCACACACAACACACATAAACAGGCGGAGGAACACATGTATACACACGACAAAGAGTTTACAATTTCATGTCCTGTTTTATACGCACATACCTACAAGCTTTTGTACATATAGACACACACACACACACACACACACATATATATATATATATATATATATATATATATATATATATATGTGTGTGGTTGGGTGTATGTATGTATTTAAGTACGTATATATATGTACGTGTGTGTTTCTATTTCTTTTGAAATATATTGATATGAATAAAAGTATATACACCAGCTGACATCATAATATAGCAATCGAAGGGAATTTCTAGAAAGACCTATCTCCAGTAATGTTTATTGCAACAAAAATATTTAAGTTCACAATATTTGTCGGAGGTCGACTCAGAGATTCGTGATATGCTGCAATAATTAATACAATCGTTGTTATCTGGGTCCAGACTAGTGAGGAATCTGAAGACTGTGATTCGAACTGCAGTAAGTTTTGTGAACGTTAAAGTTTTTCTACAATTACACACAAACAAGTACACACACACACACACACACACACACACACACACACACACACACACATATATATATATATATATATATATATATATATATATATATATATATAAATGTATGTATATATATATTATAATTAAAATAATAAATGTATATAGATATATATATTATATTATGATTAAAATAATAAATTTATGATTAAAATAATAAATGTATCTATATATATATATATATATATATATATATATATATATGCATAGAGATTTATTATTTTAAT